GGCAGATAATACTAAAAAATTACTGAAACCTATAAATAGCACGACTTATTAATAAAATTTATTGTAAGAGCGATTATGCAAAACATACCAATTTCCATATTACTAATTAAGATGTTACATAAGTTTCTTCGTATTTAATACTGGGTGAGTCGACAAAGAATAGGCATATTAACTAAGAAGCACATAAAACAGTTATCAAGAAAACAAAAATTTCATACGTCGTCAGTTGCTTCAGTGTTTAAAAAAAGTATTGGCTAGATTCTATGACGTAAATTCTTGTATGAAATTGATGTTATTAAAATGGTAGTTGATCGTAGCGTTTCTAGTGTTGTCAAATTTTCTCGTACAAATAATACGTACAAAAACGTGTGGTTGTGCATTTTTACTGCTAACATCAAGAGTCCTCTTTCTTATTTAAAGCAAACGTTACCCCTGTTGTTATCTTTTACAGATAGTTATAATGTCAACAAAAGATGGGTGGAAAGTAGCTAATTTAGTAAGAAAGAATACAATACACCAGACACCCCAACGAATCGTTTCTTGCAATATATAACCGTTCTACATCGTAAGGTAACTAAGTCAAACGCCCAACTTCTAATTTTCCAGTCACATTTACGGATAATATGTTGTTTATATCGACATCGTATCATAAAATAAAAGATTGAAACGCTAACTTACCACAAATCATATCAATTTTATTTTGCAGATAAAACCATCGGAATTTTATTAATTTTATTGTCTTGATGGAACTCGTTATAAACTGTATAAATTTTATGAGTGACTAAATCATATAAGACAGGGGACGATGTGTCAATATTGTTTAAGAGTTGTCTCATACCAGCAGCTGAATTGTAACTGTTTCTCAGTTTAAGCAGATCTCCTGTAGATAAAGTATTTACTCTCATTCTCGAGACGTGATAAGGGTGTTACATTATTATGATAGATGGCATTCTACACGTTTTCTCAAAATACCCTTGCCTACCTTTCCAAGAACGTAGTATCTGTATATGCTTCCAAAGTATCCGTGCACTGGACGCTTGTCAGAAACAGCATCACAACACATCTGAACAAGTTTTTCACGCTTTTCTGGTACTGAATCAGGCATGGCTAGTCGTAGTTTGCCCAAAAATCACATACTAAACCTCTATTAAACTCCTATCTCCAAAGTGGCAGTGGCCATCAAATACACAATAATGCCAAAAGAATATATGTCTAATTTGCGAATATGGAAGATTTCCGGTGCAATAGGTAACATAAAACTCGACTAACTAGTCGACGAACACCCGATAAATTATCAACGTTTTCGCAATCCGCTGGATTTTAGTGTAACAATGGTTCATCATGTGCGCTATTGGTCACACCACTCCGCAGTCTTATATACAGAAGTCGTTGTTGTAATATAGCAGGCAGCAACAAGCATGGCCTCAAGTCAGTCTGATAGGGAATGGTTAAGAAAAAATATTGAAGATGGAAGCATCCGGTTTTATTCTTTCGATGACTTTATTGACGTCCTATACATCGGTGGTGGAGGATATGGAGCGGTTTTTAAAGCCAAAGTGAAGTCGCTCGGCAGAACGGTGGCATACAAGCTTTTGCATCCACAAAAGGAGGATGAGATGATCGAAAACTTTGTCAAGGAGGTTGGTAATAGAATGGACTTTATATTTAGATTTATTGCCTTACTTAAACCACCCACCCAAACGATACTTTTAGCTTAAGATTCATCGCAACGTTGATGATCATCCCAACATAATTCGATTCCTTGGAGTGAGTAAAGGTAAGCATTGAGATGTCGCCACGGGTACACTTATCATTATATGACATTAACGGAGACTTAATGAATAGATACGATTAATAGATATGTAATGGTCTTCAAGTACGCCGACGGTGGTTCATTACGATCTTACTTGTCTGACCCGCCTGTTGAATTGGACTGGCCTACAAGATGCAAACTTGGTATCAATATCGCTAATGGCCTGAGGTATCTTCACGGGCGCCGTATTATACATAAAGATTTGGTAATTATAGATCTGCAGAAACAACATTATCTGATCAGAACGTTCTATAATAATTGACAATTTTATTATTATTTAGTCTTCACATAATGTATTGATTCATGCCGGCGTGGCGAAGATAACAGACTTTGGTTTGTCTGACCTGATCTTACAACAAAAAACCAATTCAAACATTAAAGGAACTCTTCCATATCTTGACCCTAGATGTTTATTTGACCCTTCTACTAAACATGATGAAAAGTCAGATATATTTAGCTTTGGAGTGGTATTATGGGAAATCTCTGGTGGTAAGAGACCATGTGATGGACTCCAGTATCATAATGACATTATAAATTATAGACTAAATGGTAGTCGAGACACTCCAGTTTCAGGAACTCCTGAAGCTTATATCACAATATATTCAGAATGTTGGGATGATGCTCCTGAGAAAAGACCTTCTTGTGAGCAGATTTTTGATAGATTAAGCATAATAGGTCAACCAGCAACAATTTCAAATCATTTATTTTCTGACCAGTTGTCAAGTAAATACCAAAAAGAATTATTAAAAGGAAGACAGCAAGATCAGATTGCTAACTTGATTAAAGACTGTCTAACACATAATGGATGGTATCAACAGAGTTATCCTCCTGTTAAAAAGCTTAAGGATCATGTTGATTGTGGGCAATGTTGTTGCCTACTAGGTTTTTTTTATACACATGGAATAACAGTTGGAAAGGATCTTAATCAAGCAATCTACTGGTATAAATTGTCAACAGAAAAAAATGATGCTTTTGCACAATATAGTCTTGGTTATTGCTATCTATATGGAATTGGAGTAGAGAAAGATGTTAAGAAGGCAATTGAATTATTTGAAAAAGCAGTTGAACAAGGAAATGCTACTGCACAATGTTATCTTGGTTATTGCTATAAAGAGGGTATTGGAGTAGAGAAAGATGCTAAGAAGGCAGTTGAATTATATGAAAAAGCAGTTGAACAAGGAAATGTTAATGCACAAGATAATCTTGGTTATTGCTATAAAAATGGAATTGGAGTAGAGAAAGATGCTAAGAAGGCAGTTGAATTATTTGAAAAAGCAGCTGAACAAGGAAATGTTGATGCACAAAATAATCTTGGTGATTGTTATAAAAATGGAATTGGAGTAGAGAAAGATGCTAAGAAGGCAGTTGAATTATATGAAAAAGCAGCTGAACAAGAAAATGTTGATGCACAAGATAATCTTGGTTATTGCTATGCAAATGGAATTGGAGTAGAGAAAGATGTTAAAAAGGCAGTTGAATTATATGAAAAAGCAGTTAAACAAGGACATGCCAACTGGCAACAGAATCTTGCATTTTACTGAAACTTTGTCATTTTGTGCTAATGTGAAGGACATACATAACCTGTTATTTACAATGCTGTTATTACTAATAGTGATATTAATGGATGTCAAAGTATTATTGTAAAGTATGTAAGCTCATGCATTATAAATTAAGAATTCTCATTTACTTTTCAGAACAAGTCTATTATTATAAGCTGTCTATTATAACTGTATCATTGTATAATACATGACTATTTTTATTTGAAACTTTTTGAACACTACCACAAACCACATGATTTGATTGTATTCTGACTATTAAGCAGAATAACATTCGTTTCACTGAAAGTATGGCGTAGTATTTATTATTACTTGGTATAACATAACGTATTTCCGCTCAGGGAATACAAGCACATTTGAAATATATAATCAGCAAAAAAAATTCGTAAAATTTATAAGGGGCTTGCCCTTAACAAAATTGTATATAAATGACATTCCTGCGCTTTTTCAGAAAGCGTAACAAATTTTTGCTGGCATTACATTCTCTGTTGTCTTTGGCATTCCATACTGTTGTAAGTTTGACAATATGAATCATTCATTACAATACCCCACTTACCTTATCAGTTATGTTACGCAAGAACTAACCGACTGTAAGGCAAAGCATTACTCGTCTAGACAGTAAACAGAGACCGTCGGCCTGGCACTAGCCTTTACGATACGTGCTTACCCTTTTCGAAACCAGTTCGACAAAATTAAATAGTAACGAGTGTCGGGGATAAAAATTAAATTTCCTTCGATGCAACGGTTATTAAATTCTTGTTGTACCATATTTGGATACAAGTAAACATAATTTATCTATGGAGGTAAATAGATCACTCGAAACATACTGTAGTTCGATCTTAATATGAGCTACGCTTGGTAACACACCTGCAGAAAGCTAATACCGCAATATTTTATATGTAAATTTTAATTTATATAAAATTTAAAATCGAATTTGTGTAGTTATCAAGAATTACACAATCGTTGCTTAATCAAAAAGAGTTCGTGAGGGTGATGTTTGAGAACACCGCCGGAAAGTATACAGCCATCAGTTGAACTAATTCTGCTCTCGGAAATGTAACTTTTTCGTTATCGTGTTGGGCAATCGCTATGTCGATTACTGTTGGAACAAATCACAATAAATATTACCAGTCTATCTTATTCATCCTCTGCCTGTACATCATCAGTGACTGGTGTTTCATCTTTTGGTATACTGTGGTGGCCTCGTCTTTTTTCTTTTAATCTTATATATCCATCATAAACACGTCCAAGAATATTAGAAGTCAAGATTATAGAACCCATTACCAATGTCAAGAATGGAATAATATCATACGAAACTGTTAAATGTCTATACAAAATCTATGAATGACAACAAATTCGACAGTTAGCAAATAAACTCGCATCATTGCGATTAAACAATGTTATCTTCACATACCTGAATGACCAATTGGGGAATATCTTCAATAAACAAATTTAATGTGCTACCCCAGAAAACATAACTCTTTGCAGTCTCTGACAAGGGTGCAAAAAACATCTTCAAACCAGCAAATTCGGATCCGAGAAGAGTGATAACCTCAACGTCAGCACCTGCTAGCAGAGTAACTCCTGAAACTATTCTTACATTCTGACTGAACCACTTTTGAAATTTAGCATCACTTATTTCCTTCATTAAGATTGAGAATGCCAGGCCAGAATTGAAGATAATAGGAACTATTAAAAAGATTATACTGGAAACGGAACAAATGCATTAGATAAATAACAAATTTATTTGATAGAGATAAAATAAGTAGCAATACCTTGGTGTAAGTATTTGCGGAACGTTTTTTGCGCTTGAGAGTACGAATGCTATATCGAGACTCAAATCTGCAAGTATTAGTGCAAGTTTTACAACAACGAAACTTTGGCCCTAGTGAAATGATTCAGGTATTAGAATTTGTAAAGCAACATTATCAATATTAATTATACAAGACAACTCACCTCTGGATGCTTCCGTTTTGCATAAAAGTATATTATTATTAATATTAAGAAACAAACAAGTAATCCAATTAGTTTAAATTTGTAAGCTTCCCATAAATTGGCTAGGAAAGTTCATTGATAGTGCATTAGTTTCATTTATGATAACAATAAAAAGCAGCTCTAACCTCGTAATTTACATACCAGCAGGTAAAAACCCAAACGTTTCATCTAGGTAGCTAGTAGGATACTCTTGCGAAAACGAAGTATAACCTTTATTCTTAATTAGCTCGTCGAGATCATCAATAATCTGCTGCACCGTTCTCTGCGACTTATCGACAGTCGACTTGAGAGTGATTGGAAACAATATCTGACGAACTGGTGCATTAGGATCAGGTTGGTTGTGTCTATTGGTGGTTATGCGTGACGGATCAATGGGGATGAGCTCAGCAAGCTTTGCAACCATAGTGTCGAAGAAAGTGTTCTTATCATCAGTAGATAATTGTTCAAATAAAGTCGTTCCTTCAGGTGTCAGTCTCAAAAGACCAGTTGTTGTTTCTATTAAAAAGAATAAAACTGTCAGTCAGCACATACTTGTACACATATTTATAAATCAAGGTGATGCTTATACCTGTATATTTTTCTTCAGTTGGGGCTAATAATTCAAGATGACTGATGAGCAAATGAATATTCATCAAGAGGACATTTAATATTGGTTAACCACATACCTCCATAATACACCCAATTTCCCTCCGTCACTCCGGTAAATGGCTGGTTCAAACTCTTACTCATTACAAAATCGTTATCCACAACTACATCATATGTAGCACCAGCTTGATTGAAAGTACTCTTGAATATTTGGCATGTAACCGCCAAGTCATTTAACGTAACAGAACAGAGACTAGATTTCGCATTGAAACCCTGTCTGAGAATAGGATTCCCGTCTGTCGCTTGGTAAATTGAAATGTTTTGCACCGAAAGAGCGATCTGCTGCCTGAATTTCAATGTAATGTTTGTAATATTTGAAAATACAGACGAGTTTGATGGCGGAATTGCTGAATCCACAAGAAGATTATTGAAGCCAGCGTCTGAAAAAGTACGAGTATGAAAGATTATTGAAGTGCAAGAAAAAAAAGAAGAAAAGCGTTGAGATAATAATACACGTGGTCAATGATGGATGCTATATATACAAATTTTACCGTCTGGCAATAATTTCGGAAGCGGTACGAGAACTATGGATATTTTTGACGGCCCCCGAATTCCTATCCACATAGTGTTATTCGGAAATACTGCCCAATCACCAACGTCGCTGACTGGTAACGGCAAGGTTTGTATATTATTTCCATTTTCATCCTTGACAGTTAGGACATAACTCCTGGTAGCAGCATTCGGACTAGTCGCATTCCATTCTACAGACATAAATCCGCCATATGGCACCGACCATATTCCAGATACTCCCTTTTGAATTTGCGTATCGCCCAATATAACCTTGACATCAGTTACAGAACCACTAGATAGAAACGCCACTCTTACATAATCAGGAGTCTTAATGTTTGCAACAGTAGGACTGTTTACAGGGGCCAGTATAATACAAAAGTATCCTGTTCCGTCGACAGCCACATCGCATCCGATCATTTTTAACATCATCATGTCAGCGTGTGGGTCGGGATTCTGCCAGACAAGATGAGGTGTGTCGAACTGTGAGGTAGTAGGTTTCCAGAATGTGACATACAAAAACCATTGCGGAGAAGAGTTGAACACTTTAGAGACGAGTGGATCCTGAGTGAATGTTGATACACTTTTTAAGAGGACTATGCCATAACCGCCTTCTGTAGTGGGAAAAACTTCGTAACCTTGCAGAATTTTGTCATCATTTTCTGTGAAAATGCCTTCGTATAATTGAGTTATTTGACGCGTGCTGTTGCTATTTTTGACAGAGCGTATTTGATGATTAAATCAGATGCCTCATCGAATGGTTGGACAAATTGTCAATTATACTCACGGTGCACTAAAGATTTTCCATGAAACTACATTATTGCCACCCATAGTTGCTACAATAAAACCCTTATTCGGGTTGATATTAACTTTTGCAATTGGTGCCAAATTATCGTGTAAAGGAATATCAGCAAGCATCACATCACTATCCATGAAATACCAAAATATATTAGCTCAGTAGTTTTTAATACATCCTATGATTATTCATCTACCAACCCCTTTGTTTTTAGCTCTCTTCAAAGCTTTTTCAATTTTTAGATGTACTCTCAATTTCAAGCAATTCTTACCGTTGTAACACCTGCCCAGTCCAATCCATCAACTTCCCGTAAATATGCCTGCCATCTTTATTTTTTATCTGAATTATAAAAACATATCCGTCCTTAAGCGGATAAGCATACTGAATAAACAAATCAGGATCATAAGACGTAAGTTTCGTCAACGTGCCGTTTGGATGTAGTAGACGTATATACAAATTGGTAAAGTTGTTGCCGGTATACAATTGCATCAATCCTGTGCCGCCTGGGTATGTAAGACCGTTATTTATGTTGTCACCGGAATTAAAAAACTCAATGTTGTCAAGGTCTTCGTACTCTTGCACTGTATAAGCCCAAATACTTGTAAAGGAACAAGAAACAAGAACGAATAGCAACAGATGGCGGCGAAACTGGTTGATCATAATTTGTGCGGGACTGATAATCAGAGACCGAAATTATGTTTGGATAATAGAATGAGATTCTCGGATGAGAAAATCCTACTTTATATTGGTTCATTTCATTGTATCCGTTGTGTAATACTCCTCGTTTTATAGTGCATGTTTTGATCAAGGTATTCAAATGTACATTGTATAATTTTGCGACGTGCAACGGTTTCTAATCTGAAAGGGATTATTTGTGCCATCTGTCCTGATATTGCCATAAAAAACGTATAAACCGTCCCAAATCAAAGACTTGTGCATTACTGATGGAATGAAACAAAAGACATCTTTGTTTACTAAAGATTTGCTACATGTCATACGTAATAAACTAACTCAAGTACGAGCAAGTTATGTCAATATTAACGCCTTGCCTCCAACACCAAAAAGCTCTACACGAATACCATAAACATGGTAATTAAATTAGAACTTACATGTTGTAGGTAAATAAACCGTCAGCAAGATACGGCATCTAAAATTTAGGTGAAATGCTTCTTAAAGTAAAAGTATGTAAAGCTATAAAGTTTTTAGTACTGATACATATACAAAATATTAAATCACACCTGAGGTTATACAATAGAAATGGAGAAACTTCCATTGCTAGACTATATGTTGTACGCCTTAGGTATGGTACCGATCTTTGCTCCGTGTTTCATCGTCTCATTGATCTACAAAGTGCTTAATCTAATAACAATAAAGGTATAACAAATTGTATACATCTAATTTGAACAAAGATTCAATTGGCTACCCAAAACGTATACATAAACCAAAAGAAACCACATAATGAGGCGTGAGGTTTGTGATCCGCACCTACTGCGCATTAACTTTAAGTATAAATTTATCCAATTATATTCGTAATTTTATCGCCGCTATAATCTGACGATAGATTCAATCCCTTTACTGTGCTTCGGACAGGAAAAAAGTTTACACCCCAAATTTGACGTGGACGAAGTTTGTTTATAATCCGTTTTGTTAATGACAATGGTAAAAAAAAAGATGAAGCATATATTGCCCGCTGGCTAATTGTATATTACATGTAATCTCGTTGTAATATATAAAATAATTATTTAGCATATCAATTTTAGATTTCGAATGGACTATCTACTAATAAGCCCATTAATTAGTGTCACGTAAACAAATTTTTACCCACAAACTTAGAGGGACGCTTTTATAGCAGAACATTTTCTTTTATGCAAACGAGTAGTTTTAATAAACAGTATGTCATCACAAGAACGCAGTAAAGTACTTTGAGAATAATATTAATATATTAACAAATTAAGCAAACTAAGGATCGTGTATTTGTGACACACACACACACTCCGTGTAAACAATCAATCATGATTTGTTGCACACACACACGGCACACACACCGCATGTGAAAAAACAATTTGTATACAGTATATCTCCCACAAATTATAGCACTAATCATTAATCGATATCTATTGTCAATCTACTATTACTTACTACGTACCAGTCAGGTCGATCTGCTCGTACAAATCCTTTTTTAGAACCAATCACGCCAGAGTAGTGTGAAAAATGTTCTTCTGTTTTAGAATATCGCTTATTATTCCATTTGCATAGTTCCCAGCTAGAGTATCTGGCCACAAACTATTCATGTATCGTATAGTAATAATCAGATATAGTTGCACCTTTGTATGTCTCCCCTGATGAAGCACATGAAAATAACACACTCTCATTGTACAAGTTCTTAATTTATTACATTATTCCGAGTTTGTTACTGAATCTGTATGTCAGCAACTGTTTGCAATCCCTTCTGAAAGTGAAGCAATTTCATTAATGCAGAGAAGATTTCTTTCACCAGTTTTCCTTCACTGTTCTCTTGGAAGAAATGCCAACAACAGCTTTTCAGAATATCATTTTTTTTGTAGGAGATATGACTTTCTCCCATAATATGCATGCTTTAAAACTTTATTCTGGTGTTCTGGGTGCCTTTCTCACAAATTCAACACAAACTAATGAAGACACATCTTGGCTTACCCCCACAACTATTAATTGCTGCAGAATGGCTTAAGCACAATAACTGCTATTAGACCCTTATGTGCTCTTCTCCAAAACCCATCATCCATTATCACTGCCACTTCTGACCTTTCCCTACTGCACATCATTCTCCCACAAATTCTCAAGCACCACCAGTTTATAAAAGAGAAGTTATTTTACCAAACACTAATTTTCAAAATACATAACGAAGACTTCCATTCATTATACACATTTGATGGCTGGCTTTGTACAGACTTCCAACAACACCTCTTTGCCTCTTTCATTTCATGATCCAGAACTTGAACCTTTACTCTTCCCTGATATCTTTCCTGATGGAAGAGACCATTATCACGACTTAATATCTTCTATAACTGCAGAAAATGGTATGGAAGTATAAACATATGGAAAATATTAAACATCTGCATCCAAAGTGGTCTTTATGGTCATACATGCAGTTGGAAAAACTCCACAATCATCAGTATATGACTGTATTTGGCACCAAAACAATGCCTAGCAACGAAAATTCCTCACACTACACACCACAGCACTTGGTCAGGTGTTGTCCAACTGGATTCACAGAAATGATGGTGAGTTTACATGTCATAAAACCATGGGTCAGCTGCACTGTATCAGAACTTATTACACATAAGCATCTATACCAATCAACCTATTATTGATGAAAAACTATGACTCTACCAACATTTATTTGTTTAGGAGATACTTATTTTCATGAGAAACTGTTACATGTTAATGCAATGATTACTGAATTTGGCCTGCCATCAATTTTTATTACATTAATAATTGAAAGTAAATGGACACAAGACCTGGTAATACACAGCTTTACATTTCATACACCACAAACAGGACTTAAATGTAACATTTGGTGTAAACCTGACATCAGTAACTGGGGGGAATTTTATCATTTTTTTGAAAGAGTAGAATTTCAAAACAGAGGCACACACATGCATCTGGGTTAGCAAAAACATGCATGATAAATGATCATATTATACACTCTGATTTACCTGATGCTGACTCAGAACCAGAATTACATTGACTTGTGTTGCAACATCAAATACATACCTGTCTGCCCTCAAAATGTAGAGGACCTGCTCCTCTGGGACAAACATGCAAACAAGGCTTTTCCTTGCCCATTTTCAAATTTAACTCATTATAATCTTCTGATATTTGCTATATTTATTGCTGTGTAAAACCTACTGATCAATGGGCTGTTCCATACCATGTGCCAACTCTTTTCATATGGAACACACATATGATTGCTCAATATGTAACTTCCCATATATTTAACAAAGTATATAGTAAACCCATGTTCTTAACATTTCTGATGGCAATACCTATTGGGAACATATAATTACATGCCAACTGGGGTCTATGGAATATATGTTTTTGTTACTAGGAGAAACAATATGCAACTTGTCTGTACAAGTAAAATACTTGCCAACTGATCCTCCATATTGTTGACTTTGTGATACATGATTACTGAAAAAGAAGAAGACCCATATTGAAAAGACAGTGCTGAAAAATATTTTGCTTGACCAGAACATGGAATATTTCATGACATGACATGACATACCCTCAATATTTCAAAAATTTTCGTCAGTTGACAAAACCTCCTAATAATACTACTACTACCACTATGTCAAATGGAAGAACACAAATTTATAAGAATAACTCAATAATTTTATTGTAAAAAGAACTATTCCTATTGTGATTCTCTTACTATTCAAGATGGAGTTTTTCTACCAACACTTCTGCTTACACAGCCCTGCAGAAATAGCTTGGTGGACACCTGACATTTCATGCTCATTTTTTAAACCTTTACCCAGAACTTCAAATATCATTACATGAGCACACAAACACTACAATAAATCATCAACATTTTACTCTAGACAATCACTTTGATCAAGTAATTAATAATCTAATAGAAAATCTTGTTACTATAATTTCCCAGAAATACAACACATTCATATCCAATTACTATTACATGCTCTTAAACAGATTCCCTAATTTTACCACAAACTGCTCTACTTACACTTCCTAAAGAACAATACAATATTATCACCTCTAATCTTGGACCAGTACATAATAAAAAATGCCCCTTTTTCTTTATAACAGGATCTGCTGATACTGGAAAATTAGATAGAAATCATCCATTTAATTGTTAACTGGCTGAAAAAAATTAAAAAAAATTACCTACTAATGGCACCAACTGGAGTTGCAGCTCAAAGCATTGGTGGCTTAACCATTCATTCAGCACTTCAAATAAACATGATTTCAATCACTTGCTCTTTATGATGCTGACTTAGAACTGAATTACATAAAATTAAAGCAGATGAAATTTCAATGGTTTCAGCTCCCTCTTCACATTTCTTGCAAACCTGTTTGCAGATTCATAATAACAACATCTGTTTTGGAGGTGTAAATGTGATTGTTGTAGGTGATCTTGCAAAAACCTTATTAATGTCTAAATTAAATAGTCTTAATGCAGTGTAGAGTTACTTACATACCTGTAGAAAAGACTGGTTTCATTCGGTTAGGGGATAATATGCAAAGCATCAACAACAGTGGCGTGCTTCTTCTCCATGGAGTTTTTCATAACATATTTGTTTTCTTGTTGGATTAAGAACGCTTGTATAGTTTCCAGGCTTTCTAACGCAGCATTTTGCACTGCACTGACTGGTAACTGCTATTTCAGTACTCAATATCTTCTTCGGGACTGTCAGAAACTTCATAACTTAAATGGCTTGATTGATGCGGTAATAGCGATACTATTATAGTCTACTGATTTGACAGAGTGACTGACTTTCGATTGTTGATAAATCCCACCAATTATAATTTACCTGACGTAATGCCTGTTTACTAAATTTATCATTATACTAAGCGCCCTTAATATTAACGTTAAGTACTAAGTCCGATTTAGTTTATCACATGCTACTTGCACTGTCACACTATTCCGAAAGGCTGAACAC